ACCAAAATGCAATTAAATCTATTAATGTACACTTATAAAATGTTAAGATATTGAGAAATTGACTTGATTTTGAAAAGCAAGTAAATTTCTACTCGGGAAGTGGTGTTTCTCTATTAAGTTTTTATTTATCCTCTTTTATTCAAAAGGCATTTACTGCACATTTACAGAATTAAGGGCGATTTCTGGACTTGGAAATTCAAGATGAGGATACCCTGGTCCTGCCCCTGAGGCGGTCAGTCACCATGGAGAGGGTAAAAACACAAACCTGTACAACTAACGGTAATGTACATCAGGATGTGATAAATGCTGTAGATACCCATGGACATGCGTGTGGTTTCCAACACGCATTTCTGTGTGTATATATTCCTTGTTTAAAATCCTGACTCATCTGTTCAGTACAACAGAGTTCCAAAAATAGCACTTTTTACAGATTTTTTTTTAATTTGGAAAAGTGAAATTAAACAGCTCTGTAATTCTCTGTTCAATTGAGAAAGGAAAGCTAAGAAGGCCTACCTGTTTCTCAGGGGGATCCAGAGTGTTTGCACTTTCAATTCCCTGTCAGTCTATATTTTTGTAAAGGATTCATACCAGTCCAAACTAAAGATTATTCTTTTATTGTCTAACGTTACACAGACAAATTTCTCCCCAGAATATAATGAGAGACCTCTTGCTTGCAAAAGCTGCTTGTTGGAATATTAAAAAAAAAAATTTAATAGGAGTAGCTAAAAAATTCAATGACTCCCATGTTCTTCAAGTAATTCAACTAAAAAATAAAGTCAACACTATTACAAATAATGTACATATTTCCTGTTTATAAAGAACTATCTGGGCAAGTTTGTTCTCTTTATTTTCTGTAACTTCTTATTGATAACAAATGAAAAAATTGGAAATATGACATAATATAAAAAGCCACAGATTAAGACTCAAGAGACCTGGAAAATGAATATACTTGATCACTTGTCTTCGTGCATTGTCTCTCTGGCAAGAAGTTGGGAGCAACCTAACCCTGCTGTGATCAGGGTAAACACCATTGCATACCAAGAACGTGTGAGATGTCTCATGAAATAAGCTTCCAAAAAACATAGTTTGAAAGTGAACCCCAGTCAATAACACTGCCTCTAAAAATGAATACACTCTTTTCTCTAAATTGCTAGAGCAGTAAATCAGGCATAGAGCTACAGAAAAGAAAAATAAATAAATAAACATTATCAAATAAAAATTCTACAAGGAAAACATCAAAAACTAATGATGTAATGTATGGTGATTAACATAACAATAAAAAATTATTTTAAAAAATTCTATAAGGAAAGTAAATAAAATGCTCTGAGTCATGACCAGCAACATTCTGCTTGCTATAATATTTTTAGATTTTTTTAAACTTATAGAATATGCATGTATCTAGATACCAAAAGCTCATAGTAAGCAAAAAAATTCAGAGTCATTAATAAAGTTCATGCTTCACTTCTCTTTATTCCTTTGCTTTCAAAGAAGTCTTACTAGAAACAGACATTTTGCATCTGTACCCAAATGTTGGGAGCTGATTTAAAAAAATAACTTCAACCTACAAAAAGACTCTGGATTAAAAAATATAGCATAAGTTTTTGGGCGCCTGGGTGGCTCAGTTGGTTGGGTGACTGCCTTCGGCTCGGGTCATGATCCTGGAGTCCCGGGATCGAGTCCCACATCGGGCTCCCTGCTCGGCAGGGAGTCTGCTTCTCCCTCTGACCCTCCCCCCTCTCATGCTCTCTCTCTATCTCATTCTATGTCTCAAATAAATAAAAATCTTTAAAAAAATAAAAATAAAAAATATAGCATAAGTTTTAAGATCTTTTTTATTGATAATTTTTGAAGTTCAGATTTAATATTGAGGTATGTAAAACATGAATTAATTTTTGTTTGGTTGTGGTTTGTTTTATAAGTGTTAGTACCCACAGTAAACGGATAGGCTCATGGCAGCTAATGAAATAGCACACAGTCACATCGCTTGCAAGCGGTAGGGCCCAGATATTCTACCCAGAAATTCAGTCCTGCTCCTTTCGACCAAAGCACAGTCACAGGTGCAACTGATTACCTAAACCAAATATATATCATTCATTGATTCATTACGCAAATACTCAGTGATTGCCCACGCCCTGCCACGTGCAAAAAAGAGAAAATTCCAACAGTGTGCTGGGTAGATGTTCAACAACTGCAAGGAGGGAGGACACTTATTGTAGTAATTGTTTATTTACATAAAGTACATGCTCCTATAATAACAGACTTCCATCTACCAACCTTACATCACTGAACTTTGAGTTGGGGGGAGAGATGCACAATCAACTCTTGTGAGCCTGTGTGAGTTGGCTCCTGCCCATGCGGAAAATGCATTGTAGTAGAGAGAGAGAAGCAACACACTAGTCACGTATATGGTGGTATATCAGCTACCAAAAAGTGTTGCAGAGGGAAAAAAAAGCAAGGCTGGCAAGTTGGGTAGGCAGTGTAGGTAGGAAGGGGCAATATTAAATAGGACAGTCAAGAAAGATTCCCTAAAAAATGACATTTGAGCAAAGCCCTGACAGTGGTGGAGGAGTGGACCAAGAGGCCAATAAAGGAAGAGCATTTCAGGGAGGGGGGCCTCTAGGTAACTACGTGGTAAAGGCTTGGGTATTTATTTTAAGAATTTTAGTTTTTACCCTAAGTGACATGGGAAGACGTGGAAAGGTTTTTCTGTTTTGTTTTGGTTTTAGCCAAGGAGTGACATGATCCACTTATACTTTTCAAAATATTACTCTTGTTGATGTTTAAGAGTAAACCATTTAGGAGTGAGCAAATGTGGAAACTCTGGTAATAATCCAGGCAAGAGGTAACAGTAGGTTGGATCAAAGTGGTAGTGGAGGGGCGCCTGGGGGGCTCAGTCGTTAAGTATCTGCCTTCAGCTCAGGTCATGATCCCGGGGTCCTGGGATGGAGCCCCGCATCAGGCTCCCTGCTTGGCAGGGAGCCTGCTTCTCCTTCTGCCTGCCGCTCCCCCTGCTTGTGCTCGCTCGCTCTCTCTGTCAAATAAATAAATAAAATATTAAAACACACACACAGACACACAAAGCGGTAGTGGAGAGAATGTTGGGAAGTGGTGAGATTTCAGATACATTTTTGAATGTAGAGACAACAGCATTTGCTGACAAATTGAATGTGAAGTGTTGCCCAAAAGATGATTCCAAAGATTTTGTTCTAAGCAACTGGGAAAGGTAAATTTAGCATTTACTGAATTAGAACAGAGTATTTTGGAGGAAAGATCAGGAATTTGGTTTGGTGTATGCAGAGTTTGATATGCCTATTAGACATCTAAGCAGAGAGGTAGAACAAGTAGCTGGGCATGGTCTGGCTTTGGGGAGAGATTTGGGTTGGAGATATAATGATGGAAGTAGTCAAGATACTGATAATACTTAAAACAGGGACTCAATTTGGAGCACCAGAAGAATGAATGTAAATTTATTTAAAATATATTCAGCTATTTAATAAACACATATCCCAGCACTGTTCTCATTACTCTGCAAGTATTAACTCATTTAATTCTCATAAGCCTAGAAGGTAGATACCATTATTTTCCTCTTTTTACAAATTTAGAAACTAATGCACAGAGAGGTTAAATAACTTGCCCAAGGCACAAACAAGTATATGGCTAATAAGTGACAAACTTGGAGTTTCTAACAAAGCTGTCCAGTTCCAGAATTCTTCTTTTTTTTTAAGACTTTATTTATCTATTTGACAGAGAGAGACACCGCGAGAGAGGGAACACAAGCAGGGGGAGTGGGAGAGGGAGAAGCAGGCTTCCCGCGGAGCAGGGAACCCATTGTGGGGCTCGATCCCAGGACCCTGGAATCATGACCTGAGCCGAAGGCAGACGCTTAACGACTGAGCCACCCAGGCGCCCTTAGTTCCAGAACTCTTATTACAGAAGAGAAGTTATTTAAATGCCTGAGGCTTCCAGCACTATGACATTTAGAGGTCAGGGAACTGAGGCAGATCAGATCAGTAAATCCTACTCATAGCATGTAACACATTTTACTCTCCCTTGGAAATTCTACTTATGCTTAGAGAGAGTAGATTTACCATTGTTTGTTTCCCTTTATATTTTTTCACATCTTCTGTAACAAGTACATATTACTTCCAGAAACAGAAAAGAGTGTTTTAAAATAATAGAAGGTGCAGAGTTGTTTTTTAAACCTTGTTTCAAAGGATGCATGTCACTCCCTGTTTACAGCACAGCTCAGTGAGAAGATAACAGTGAAAATCATTACAGAAAAGCTGAATTGCTTTTTGCTTGGAGCATGAATAAAGTTACTATAATTTATTATCCAAAGGACAATCCTGAGAGTGAAGGGGAGCACTATTAATTATACCATAACAACAGGCTGAAGTTAGGATTACCCTAAACATAACCTGTAGTAGGAATAAGCAGCCCAGGTAGCCTCTTTCTTAAGAATATAATATGTATGAATACAGGAGAGCAGACTCTTATCTGGTCCATGCACACTACCTTCTTACTATGGTTCGCTGTAGGCTAAATATACCTTTGTTTGCTGTTATTGTTGTTTACCCTTCTACTAACCACCGGTTAGCACTGGGCATCAAAAAAACTGAGCACGCCTGGCATGGTACTATCTGTGGGTATTGGAGATCTGCTACAGAGGGCTCATCGGTCCTTATGATGAGAAACAATAATACGGACTTCAGCTATTTTGATGATTCAGGCCACATTTCAAGTATTAGGAAATACATATTAATGGCATTAAGTATAAATAAAACCTAGTAAGAAATCACTGTACCCAGTGATTAATTTATAATCATTAAAAAGAATCATTTTCATTCCCATTCTAACTTAAGTGAACTGGGAAAGAAAAAACATTTAACTATCCACTTCTATTTACATTAACTTGATGTGGAACATATGCAAGCTGAAATGGCAAAATGGAAATACAAGAGAATATACTGTACCTTGTTTTACCTGTAAGGAACACACACCTGACAAAAGGCAATTTTCACATCCAAGGTTGGTTCACTGCAGTAGTACAATAAATGGAGGCTCATAAATACCTATAAAAAAGGGGGGGGCATGAATTTCCAAATCACCTAATTGTTCATTATTTAATAGTATAAACTTTAATATAATTTGAATTAAACACAAGGTGTCATGCATAACATATATTCAGCATAATCTGTATCCTGACTAGTGACAGGTACTTTTCATAAATCATAAACACTAAATAATAAAATAAGGTAAAATGTCCTATTTTTATCATGATTAATACCACCACAATCATAAAGATTAGATATAGGGAATTGGATATACTTAATAAGTTAAAGTTTAGAACATCCTTATTATACAGGACTTTCAGTTCTAGGCATCTAACTTTAAAAATCTCAAACATACGCTCAAGAGCATATATATAAGGATGTTTATCATAGAATAAAGGGACTTTTAAATAAACTGTAATGGACAATAGAATTATATACAGGACGTGGAATAACTGAATTTGAACTTAAGGTAGCAGCATAGATAAATTTTTCAAACATGATGTTGAGTGGAGAAAAAGCAAGTTGCATAGGGGTATGAAGATCATTGTATTATTAACATAAAATTTTTAAATAGACAAAAATATGTACATTGCTTTGTTATACAATCATAAAACCAAGACTAAAAAAATGGGCACTATGTTAACATCAATTTAATCTTGGTAGTTAAGTACAAAGATTTCAATTATATTATTTTCCATATGTTTCCAAATATTTTATAATTTTGCAAAGGAGAGGATAAAATCAATAATTTTTAAAGGAGAGGATAAAATCATGTAATGGTGGTAATGCCAAATTAGGTATTGTGTTAATCTGAGTATGATGAAGCAGCATCAGAGAAAACCAACTGAAACATTTTTCAGTTCAGTTAGGCACACTTTACTGAATGTTTATTGTATGCAAGACACAATTCTGTGAGTTAAACAATTTTAAAGCCACAATTGACACAAGACTTCCGTTTCTGACAATATGAATGATTAGATATCTTGAAAACCACTCTCAGTGTAAAACTCCTAAAAAAGTTAGATGAAATATACAAAATATATTTTTTAATGCATAACCAAACTGCTGAAAGAAAGAAAGAGAAAGAGAAGAAAAATTCTGAGAGGCTGAAAACAATGTGAAAGATTTCATGCAAAGAAGTAAATGAGCTGAAGCTGCCATTTGTCCCCAGGCCATCTGCTGATGTCTGAAGATAAGAACTTTAGTTTTTAAAGAGTAGCAGGTAGAGTCCAGGAAACAAAGCTTAAAACATATCTATGGTGGGAAGTCACATTGAAGACACCTGCACTGAGCTTAGTAGGGGACGTTTTTTTTGTTTGTTTTATTTAATGAGGTATATTCACAATGGTTGCAGCTTTTTTTTTTTTTAATTTGAAATCAAGTTAGTTAACATCTAATGTAGTATTGGTTTCAGGAGTAGAATTTAGAATTTAGAAATTTATCACTTACATATAACACCCAGGGCTCATCCCAACAAGTGCCCTCCTTAGTGCCCATCACCAGTTAGCCCATCCCCCCATCCACGTCCCCTCCAGCAACTCTGTTTGTTCAGTAGAGGAAGTTTTAAACAAACTTTAGGAGAGCTAGCAACACAATCCCAGAAGGAAGGTCTGAACTGCAAGAAAAAATACAAAGGAATTTGGCAGATTTTTTAAATTTAAGAAAGAATGAAAGGGCAAGAACATACAAGACGTGCCTTAAGAAGAGCAAATGAGTGTTTGTCTGTGGAGGTTAGGAGGTAGAAAGCTAAAGTAAACGTACGTGGGATTGATGCAGAGATAGACCTATAAATAAAGAGCCAAAAACAGACACATACATACATACATGGAAGCCTAATTACGTTAAAGTCTGCATTTCAGATATATGGGGAAAGAAGAAACTATGCATTAAATCATGCTGAGACAATAGGTCATGCATCAGAAATATGGAGGGTGGAGGGTGGGGAAGAAGCCCACCCCTGTTGAAAGACAATTTTCTAATTAGGTCTTTCACATTTCTGCATGTCTTACAAACAGAAGCACTGGCTGTTTTTATTCCAGACTACCTTCTCAAGGATAATAGCAAACAGTTTTGGAAGAGAGAGATAGTATCTCCCTATGGAGCAAAGAAAGGGCAGGTTTGATTACTCTCCAGTATAGTAAAGATAAGGTGTCCCTCTGGGGCAAGCCATGCTTATAAAGATTTATAAAGATTTGGGTTCCTTACGCTTTGAGTTCCTCTTCTATAACATAACCCACTGTATATGCAGTAGTCACCTGACTTTCTTTGAATCACCCTGTGGGATTGGGGCCTAAGGAACTGGCATGAATGCTGACATTCTATCCACTGCTATTAATGTGAGTAATAAGGACCAAGGATCCATGTCTACTTCTTCAATTTGAGTGGTGGAGTCATGCATGTTTGTTTCATTATTATTTTTTAAAGCCTACATATATGAAATACTATTTGACATGTCAAATATTTTATAATAGAAAAAAATTCAAGGGACACAAAGAACTAGTGGTCTTTTATTCTTTTGCTGGGCATTGCTTTGGAGGCACAAATGCCCGGAACTAAAACATTCATAATAGCCATTAATGGGAAATGATCTTGAAGAGAAATGCCGAGAGGTGTAAAGCAGGAAGATAGAAGAAACTGTGCTTGATGATAACATTAAACTGTTGAATTGAGAAATTCTGGAACTTTTCTACTTCTAGACTTTCTATTATATAAGAAGGCAACCCCCCATAAAATAATTACTAAAATATAGTCAGAAAGTAAAAAATAAAACAACAAAACAACCTATTCTCAATTTTTAGTCTGTGAGATTATTTTATTGTATCCATGAGATTTATGTATCATTTTTGCCAATTACCTCTACTTTTTAAAAAATTTTTAAGTTCAGTTTTAATTCAGGTATAATTTACACATAGCAAATGAACAGTTCTTAAGTGTATAGGTTGATGAGTTTTGACAAATGCACATATCCATGTAACTCACATTTCAATGAAAATAAAAAATAGTCTGAAAACCCCTGTGTTCTTTTCTAGACAATATTCCCCACTCCCCAGGCAAACAATATTTTAACTGCTTTCACTATAAATTAGTTTTTCTTGTCCTAGAACTCGTATCAATGAGTTGGGCTTCTTTTGCTCAGCATTATGCTTTTAGTATTCAGCCATATTGGCATAAATTTTAGTAATTGTTCATTTTATGGTTCAGTTTAATGCATCACTGTGTGCTTATCCATTCTGTTTTAGGGCATTTGAGGTGCCTCTATTTTTTAACATTATTAATAATTCTGCTATGAATACTTATGTACATATATTTTTGTATAAATATGTTTTCATTCCTCTCAGGAAAAATACCGAGAGAAAAAATTGTTGGATCATAAGATTAGGAATATGTTTAATTTATGACAAATTGCCAGGCACATTATCAACCCCCTGCAGAAATGTAGGAAAATTCAGTCGTTTTATATCCTTGCCAACATTTGGTGTTATCAGTTTTCTAAATTTTAATTATTCTAATGAGTATTTAATAATATTTTGTTATAGTTTCATTTTTTATTTCCTTGATTACTAATGATGTTGAGCTTATTTTCAGTTGTTTATTGGCCATTTATTTATCGTCTTTTGTGAAATGCCTTTTCAAGTCTTGTGCATTTACTGGTAAACTGTGGGAAGGGGAAGGAGGTTATGTCTTTTTATTACAAATTATGGAAGTTCTTCATTTATTTCAGATAAAAGTTTTCTGTCAGATATACATATTATGAATATTTTCTTTCAGTCTGTAGCTTGCATATTGAACTTAGAAATGTTGTCTTTTAGTGAATAATACTTAATTTTTATGAAATTTATTTTATCATTTATTTTTCTTTTAATAGTGCTTTCTTGATTCTATCAAGGGATCTTTGTCAACACCAAGTTCACAAAGATATTCTTCCACATTTTCTTCTTGAAGCTTTACATTGTTAACTTTACTTTTAGGAATATGATCCACCTCCAATTAATTTTAATCTATGATGTGATTATATATATTAAGGTATACATTAAGATTCATTTTTCTCCTTATAAATAGCCAGTTGTTCAAGTATCCGTGGTCATAAGACTTTCTATATTGAGTTGCCTTGTTCCCTTGGCCAAAAAAATCAATTGACTGTACAAGTGTGGATCTATTTCAGGACTCTGTTCTGTTCCATTAACTACTGTCTCTATTTACCCCAATATCATTCCATCTTGATTACTGAGCTTTATAATAAGTTCTTCAAATTAGGTAAGGCCTCCAAATTTTTTTCTTCTTTTTATTTAGGAGACCCTTCTAGGTCTTTGCATTTCCACATGAACTTTAAAAATTAGCCTGATGTTTCAAAAAATTTTTTTAAAACTTTCTGGAATTTGACTAAGAATGTATTAGAGCTATAGATCACATTGGGAAGAAAGATATCTTAATATTGGGTGTTTTTATCCATTATTACAGTATATTTGCCCATTTATTTTAGTTCTAATTTATCTCAGGAATGTTTTATAGTTTGCAGTGTATAGACCTTACATGTTTTTCTTTAAGTTTATTCTTTAGCATTTATATTTTTTATGCTAATGTAAAAGGTATATTTTTAATTTCCATTTCCCAAATGCTTATTTTTAAAAATAATGTTAATTTTTGTAAGTGACCTTGCATTCTACCACACTGCTAAATTCATTTATTAAATCTAGTAAATATATTATAGGTTGCTTAGGATTTTCCTTATACACAGAAAAGTTTTCTGCAAGATAGTTTTTCCTTTTTCCTTTCTAATCTGCTTTTCCTTACCTAATTGCCTACTCCAGTACAATGCTGAATAGAAGTGAGGAGATGCAGATGATCTTTGTCTTTTAATAGATGTACTTAGTCCATTTACATTTAAAATGAATATGCATATTGCTGAGATCAAGCCTACCGCTCTACTATTTGTTTCATATTTTACCCCTGTATTTTTTATTCTATTTTTCCTCATTCTCAGCCTTTTTTGGAAGAATTACCTTTTTGTTTTCCATTTT